CCCCTAAAAGCTGCACTGATCCTAAACCACAAGCCGTGAAACCCAGCAACAAGCCATAATAGCAACTTCTAGGCCTGCACTGTATTGTCACTAAATGTATTTTGTCATCCAGTTTAGACCTCCAGGGGTTAATCATGTTAATTCTGAATTATTTGCTCATTGTGATGCAAAGGTTGCTGTACTTGAGCCCTAAAAAGACTAATTATTGTGCAATACAAATTGCCTAAGTCAAATATTTTCACTAATCATATTGCCTATGTCATCTCAGGGAGTTATGTAATAGAATTTCGTAATACTTGTAGTTGCATGCACATTGTATTGTTATGAATTGTATTTTTACATAAAATCATCAATAAACAAGATGTATTAATGAAATGAAATAGTTTTTTCCATTTTTCTCAAAACCCAAAAAATCGAGATAGGCAGTTATCTTAGCAGGGTGACGATATATTAGAGTGCCAAGCAGAAATTGTAGCATCTAAGAGAAAGACGGAGATAAATTCTTAGATCCTGCAGAGGTTTTTGGGTGGTAAAGGTAAGGGCAATGGCGCTAGTGATACTTGGTTTAAACTGTCTATGCTCTTTGGCATTACGCAACACACTCATATTAAGATTAAGATTTCAAGATTTCTTTACACATTAAACATTCTTATATTACGGTATCGAACATTATGCTATATTCACTTTCTATCTAAAAAACAGAAAACACTTTACTTCATTTAATGAACACGCCCTGCCTTTCTTAACTATACATGCGGTTTCCCACGCGGATCAGTTCTTAGTCACCCTTTATTCCTCCTTTCAACAATGGTTTGTTTAACGATTAGATGAACCTACTTGTCTCTTCTATAAATTCCGAAAGCCTACAAAGAATTGTGAACCAAAACCTAACAATAGTTGACGCATGCATGGCTAGAGCCAAATGCCTTATAACATAAACACATCACCTATATAAACTTGGCAAAGCGTCCAATTATGATATAAAAATTACATACTGTGTAGGCACTACAAATTTAAAACTAACATATTACGTGCTTCATATATGTAGATATATTCATGCTATTATGAGTACAGTACACAGCAGCGTGAAATAACGATGGACGGTAAAGTGATGATATACGCGACTGAATTGAACAGTTTTATTCCAGTTTGTTATTAGTATTCGTTAATGAAGGAATTTACTGACGAGCTGGGGCGGGAGCGCGGACGTACACACCCTCACGGCTGCCTTGAAACTGGAATACCGGTGCAGGGGGCGGAGCAGCTCCGCCTTCTAGTGGATAGAAGCTTCCTTGTTTGTCCAGGTGCCCGTCGTATTCAACCCGACTGAAAAATAACCAAATGTAGCGCATTATGCCTAATACAAACTTGCCGTATGCCGTAATGCCGTATAATATTGTACACTATAGTTTTAGATAATTTTTTAGTGGCATACATTAAGGCGTTTTGTCAGATAAACGTTACTTCTTTATGGTCACTGATATTAAATATAAACGTCTATCAGTATGTGAATGCGGAAAACAGATTAGCACATGGATGTAGGATTCACCTGATATAATATCCGTAAGGCAAAACACCAGTCTGCCTATGTGTCCTGTAAAGCGAGGAGTCGAATTCAGCAGACGGGGGTTTGTGAGAAGGCTCATATCGAGTCCCTGCCCAATCGTCAGAGGAAATCAGCCGAGATGTTCCCAGATCAGATCGGTGCTGTGGCGTTTGTTCAGTGAATTCTCTTTGCCGTTCGGAATACGTTGAACCTCGATCTTCAACTGAGGCGCTTGTCAGAGGAGTCGCACTTTCTTCAATAGGGGTATCGCTTTCTTCACTTGGCGTGCGCAGGAATAAGCGTGGGGTTTGGACGGCCGTGTCATCTATTTGTTGCTGGGATGGATATGTTGCTGTGCCGACGTAACTAGGAACGGGCCTGTATTCGACAGAACCGTCCCCATTGCGTACAACTGAAGATGCAACGAAACCATCATTAGCATCGTCAATGTTTATCTGACGAAGAGCCCATTCCTTTGAATTGGAATTGTACGTGTCCTCCGTTCTGGCAGGCTGGACATCGGGAGGTTGTGGATATTCTGTCAACACGATGTTTCGTTGAGGAAGCCCAATGGCAAGTGGAGCAAATGTTTTCACGTGAGTTGATGGTTGCGCGCCTTGTACTACTTCAAACTTTGCAGTCCCCGCTGATGGATATGCTGAATATGTTTGTCCATCGTTACTCGTTGTAATATGTTCCATTCCTCGTTGTTGGGAATACTGTGCGATAGGAGTGTCATCTACTGTGTAATAGTTATTCAAGTCAGTTTCCGTGGATATACCTGTATGGACATCTGCAGAAGTCATCTGCTCGTCATTGCTAGAAACCGGATAGCCTTCTTGCCTGTTCCGTGCGTTATCCTGTGAATTTAACTGCCAACTGTTTTGAGTTGTAATAGTGTCACCGACAGAACCTAGTGTCGCGTAAAAATTCGATTCACCCACTGATTGATCTGGTTGTAATTGGCCGTGCAGCCTTGCTTGTTGTAGAGCCTCATGTGGTCGAGGAATTCCTACTATAGTGAAGAACTCAGAACCGTCAAAGTATGTTGTGCCATCATCAGTAGCGGCAACGTCATCGCTATTTCGTGATACGAAACTCAGCGGAATATAAATCGTGCGGATGTTTCCGGTTTCAGGATCCTCATCTCGCGGTCCTCTAACGCGCGGTGATTGGTCATGGCGTTGCTTATTAATGTTTTGGCCAGGATTGCCTACAATAAGTCAAAGATTAAGTACGTATCACTTATAACATGTAATAGGAAATTCCATTATTCGTTTTTCGATTATAAGCTTAAATTAGTAGTTAATTTAGGTTTAATCTAATAGTCACCGGTCGAAAAATGTCCGATGTTCGGTGATGAAAAATGATCGGTCAATAACAAATCTGTGAATTCATATTCGGGTCAACACGATGTGCAATCAAACACAATAAATATCTCATAAGATTTGAGGCAAACAAAATGAAAAGGAGTATGTACATTCATAGCTTAACCAGATACAGAATTCGTACCATATGAGAGGAACAACTGTCTGTTGGGCAGTTCGAATCTCTCGCTCGTAGGCGTCGTTTCTTGCTCAGCAGGCAGCCAGTAGTTTATGTCCTTGCGAAAAATCCGGACTGGTTGATTTCTACCCGTCTGCGCAGCCGACTCTCTAAAATAACTGTGGCGAATCGGTACAATGAATTCCTTTTCCATACCCCCATTTTCGAATAGGCCTATATAATTAATTGCATTTGTGGTTACATACTACAAAAGAGCTTTTTCTACAATACTCATAGCATAATAGCAACAATCTTATTTCATTAAGGCATTATTTCTCCCTTTAGAATAGCCAAGTGTGTTTTGTATGCAACCTACTCGTGTAGATGTAAATAAATATAGCGTACATGCCAGTTCTATCGCCATCTGTATGTGTCGCGTGATTACCCTCCTCAGTGTCATAAAATCCTTCGTTTGCTTGCTGATCGATGTATCTTGTATCTCTCTCATAATTACTAACGCTGCCGTTTTCATGGTCATCTGCTCTTGTCTGCAGAATAAGAGCTAGCATCGCAATTATTGTCTTTACTAAACTAACTTAAACAGAACTGGTCTAGATTGCATGGCCAGCCTAGCAAAAATATCGAATAAACAGCATATCAAGTCAAAATGCATTACCTTTTGCTCTTGAGTATAGAAGCTTATTTGGTCATCTTTGTTCTCAAATGATTCCATGTTTACTTCCGAGCCGAATGACTCCTGCTGGGGAATGTCATAATGTAGGTTCCGGTGAAACACTCGGAGTGATTCAGATGGATCAGCGACATGCGCTTGCACTGTGTCACTGCGATACGCCGACCTGCCGTGTAGTAGCACGCGCTGCGGGATGCGTCGATCCGTCGGCGACGTCGGTAGTGGTGATGGAAGCGACACGCAAAATGTCAGCTAGTACGACAGTTATACACAAGTAATGTTTGTTAATTATCTTCATCATCTATATATACTCGTTTATATGTATATTTATATAGACTTATTTGCCCCAGTATGGTTGAAATGCATATGTATATAGGCTGGCGAATAACGAACAAATATTACGCAAGTGGGAAAATTAATATTCCTTATTAATTAGAGTGAGAATGCTGGTTAAAATAGGCGCGAATGCCACAATTTTACTTATACTGTACTCGTATACTCACCGCAAAACTTATTCCGATAATCAAACACTTCATTCTACACGCATGGGCTCTGACAGTAAAGGCTACGCGAGCGTAGATAGTGGAAACAGGACCAACAGTTCCCTCAAGGATCTGTATCTGCTCAGAATCATCCTTCTCTGTATCTTTATATACCCGTCCTTAACAATGACCCGTATTGTGTATAGATATAATTGTGTTTTTCTCACAAAACCTACTTCCCGGTCACGTTCTGCTGTAGGTTTACGCCCTTTCATCGTTGCAACGCTTGCAACGCATCGGTGGGCATCTGTCAGAAATAATCGGAGATGAAAAGCTCTCTGAGATATGTCAGGATGATAGGCATATGCTGATGGTGGCACGTAACCTGGCCAAATTGAACTAACGGCAATCGGTCGGTAGACATCCGACCTCCGACAGACCAGCAATAGATTCGCCTTCTAAACCGCACATAAACAAGCAAATATGGAGGGCGCGGTGCATGCTTGTTCCGATAGGGATCATCACTATCTAAGAGATCACGGACAAACGTAATTATCGAGATTCCACACTGTGCACATTGTTACTAAGACTCGCGAACTGTATTTACCCATCTGCTGTCCTTGAAACTGAGCAGAACAGATCTAAGCTACTGATACATGATACTGAAGTAACAGCTCCAAGTCTTACAATAATTTAATTTGATATGCAGCACAAAGAAAAAAGTTTGAAATAATAAAGTTGTTCATTGACAAATTAAAATAACATGCATAGTTAAATAAATAAATAAAT